CCAAGTCACTGGTCATTCTTACCACCATGGCCAATAGTAATGTCATCTGATGCAAGAAAAAAATGACAAATTATAATACAACAGCATATCAGCTAACCAAAAAAGCTTGGCTAATTGACATTCCAGCTAAACCAGGGTCAATGAAACCAAAAATGTGCGGATAATTGCGTTGAAGAGTTGCAAACATTGCTGCCGAAAAAACGATGACTGATCCAACAAAATCAAGCTGAACTGATAACCATCTATACAGTAAACAGACAGAAATAAAAATAATAAAATTTTAGTTAAATTAGTCCTAGCATTATACCTGACTATTGAGGAATGGCTAACATACAAAGCAATTTGATTGTAGTCTACATGAAGCTCAGACTGTAATCGAAATCTTTCAGCGACATTGTAGGCTCTGATGCTAGAGATTCCGTCAATGCTCTCTTGAAAATGCGAATAAATTGGAGAGCGTGAGGTAGCTTCAAGGCGCTTTAACTGTCTTGAAGTTGCTACGTAAAAACGCTACAAAAAATAATGATAATAAAGAAATAATTTCATGGAGTCTCAGTCACCTGGACAATCAAGTAGAAGACTGTTATTGGTACTATGACTATGAGGAACCATGGAGAGGCCACAGAGATAATGGTAATGACTCCAAAAGTTGAGAAAACTGTTATGAGAAATGAGTTTGTAAACAAAGGAATCTTTTCATCAACAGCATCTATGTCCTATGGTATACAGAAAATCAAACTACTCCCAGCATTACTGTTAGAGGTACTTTTGAGAATCTATTCAAGAGTCTACCTAGAGGTGTAGTATCAAAGAATGACATTGGTGATCGAAGTATGCTAGATAGCATTTCATCATGGAGTCTCCTTGAAGCTTTAACAGTTCCAAATGATAACGTCAGTGAAGCAAATAGTAGCGAAACAGATTGTACGATTCCAAACGTAGCATATATACCAAGATTAGCAAAACTACATGTGCATTTATTAGCATATCAACCAATGCTATAGACTTACAGTGTCAAGTTATCATTACCTCCAGCATTACTCCAATGAGCTAGCCAGAGCAACTGACCAACATATCCTCCAGTGGAAAGAAATGAGAATATCAACAAGATTAGAAATATAGTAAATGTGAATGACTTGAGATAAGCAAACACAACGGACATCTTGACCTAGTACATAAGTTACAGTAACATATTGTAGTAAAATTAGTACATTATCTTACAATGCCAACTTGAACTTTCTCATCAGACAAAAGAGTTGACTCTTTGACTAAAGAAAGTATTTTACAGGCACTGTAGTTGTTGTCACTTACTGTCTTTATCAGGAAAATACTCCAATTTCTCAGCTATTTTCTCAGTATCTAAACAAAAACATAAAGTGTAATACACAGGTATATCTTATTACTTACTTTGTTTCTTTTCATCACTCTCATCTGTTGAGCCGTAGTTTTGTAAAAACACAGAGAACTCTCCATTGTGTCCAAGTAGTTCTGAATAAGTTCCAACCTCACTAATCCTGCCTTCATTCATGACAATTATTTTATCGCATTGAGATAGGAACCTCACACTATGAGTCACTAATATACGTACCTACATGTACATGCTATCATGAAACAATACTAATATCAAATCAATGTCATGTTACT